GGCGGCGGGGCTACGCGCCGGTGCTGTACTTGCAGTCCCACTGCGACGTCCCCTCGGACCGGGACCGCTACGTGCGGGAGCTCATGAAGTACATCCAGGTAGTGGAGGGCGCGGGAAGCGGGGGTGTTGCTGTGGGAGCTGGCTGCCTGGCAGCACCTCTCCAGCGGCTGGGTTTTATGGGGGTGGTTTGTGCTTGTTTTTAGCCAAGACACGAATCACAGCGGGATGCATGCCGACTACAAGCTGGACAGAAAAACTAGTTGCATTCCTTCCCAAAGCATGGTCTAGACTACTCGGCAGTAGGTAGGCCTGGTGGTAGCTGTTAGTCGTGGAGTTGTGCAGACTCGGGGTAGTCGCAAGTTGGGGTGAGCCTGAGTAAGCTAGGTCTTGGGGACCAAGTGCTAGAAGTTGCTGAAATCTCTGGACCTTTAAGTCAGGGTACAGGAAAGCTGTCCATTGACAAGCTTTGCTCTCGTTTGAAAGTATGGCCGTACAATAAAAAGACTGGTTGCTGTGTTTTGAGAATCTGCTGCTTATCTGCATCGTGGTAGGAGCATGTTCTTTCTGTGGTGGTTCGTACTGCTGCGGCACAGCTGATGGAGAGTGGCTTTATAAGCTGAAATAATGTTTCTTTCAAGCAGAAAAGAAGTTTAGTACTTTTTTTTCCTTAAAAATTCTTAAGGACAGTAGATTAGAAAAAAAAAAAGTGGTTTTAGTCTTTATCTGAAATGTCTTTTTCCTAGTCATTTCTGCTGTTTCTGTTGGTGCAGATTAATTTATTGTGCAAGTTTATAATGGTAGTGAAGCAAAGGCAAAATAATTTTTAAAATTATGACTGTGTATTGTCAATGTATGAAGCAGATTCCAGATCAAGTGTATTGCCCTTCATTTTTACACGGTATTCTTTTAACTTGGTGCATCATTTTTTCTCAGTCTAACAAATGGAAAATTTTTCCAAGCCTGCTGAGACTGGCAGGAACTATGTGTAGTAACTGTTTGGAAAAGTACTAGGTCTCTGTTAAGTAGAAAGATTACTTTTAAATTAACATAGAGAGATTTGAATGACCTTCCTTACCTCCCAGTTTTTGATTTATCTGCTAATAAATACATTTTTGGGTGACATCTTCCTTTCTCAGCACTCTGCACCTTCCTATCTGTAGCATAGTTTATGGTGCTTTTGCAAATGAGCACTTGGTTTCCTCTAAAGTTCTTAGAACTGGGACTCTGTCCCAAGGGGAAGAACTTGGAGTGAAAGTGAAGTTAAACTAAGGTAGCTAGGAACTGATCAAAGTTAGGAATTTTATGAGAACTACAAGCTCTGAAAACAAGCTCTGGGCAAACAAATCACTTTGTAAAGATGCTGGTTTTTATTTTAGGTTGACTCCTATGGGAAATGCCTGCATAACCGTGAGCTTCCTAGTGAGCGACTGAGAGACACTTCTACAGCCACTACAGAAGATTCTGAATTTATGACTTTTATCGCCAGGTACAAGTTTCATCTGGCCTTGGAGAATGCCATATGTGACGACTACATGACGGAGAAGCTGTGGCGTCCAATGCACTTGGGTGCTGTCCCAGTATACCGAGGCTCTCCAGCTGTGCGAGACTGGATGCCAAACAACCTCTCCATCATCCTTATAGATGACTTTGACAGTCCCCAAGAGCTGGCAAAGTATCTTGATTTCCTGGACAAGAATGGAGAGGAATATTTGAAGTATCTAGAGTATAAAAACCTTGGTGGAATCAAAAACCAGTTCTTGCTAGAGAGCTTGGCAAGGAGGGAGTGGGGTGTTAATGACATGACTCTGCCTAATTACCTGAATGGTTTTGAGTGTTTCATCTGTGACAGGGAGAACACCCGAGTCAAAGAGGAGCAGGAACACAAAAAGTCTCATGGGAAAATTCCAGCTCCCAGACCTCGCATAGCTCAGTTCAAGCACATGGGATGTCCTATGCCAACCCCTGGGTTTGGAAGTGTTGAAGATCTGTCTAGAGGAGACAGGTAATGTACCAATACTATGCTTTTTGAAGGAAACAAAAGCTTCAAATAACAGTAGCTGTAACTTTTAATAATGCTTTGTACTTAAAGGATCTCTTAACACATCTCCAGTTACACTATGTCTTGTGGGTGATATGGTTGTTCTGCTAATATTGTGTAACACTGGAGCTGAAAAAGAGGCTTAGATGGTGGTATCGGTTAGTGATTGAATGAGGACATAATATTCTGTTAAAATGCTCTGTGACCTTGGGCAATGTGGTTATCCTTTGTCTATCAGCCTCTTTTTTTGTTTGTTTGGAGGAGGGATGTTTTTCAGTACCATGATGGTAAAGCACTTGGTGGCCCTTGGGTGAGAGAAGCTCTATACCTCATTGTAAAGTACTGCATTAAGAATGGGCTTGCCACAGTGTTCAGTTCAGGCCTGGTTAGCACCTGTTGAGTTCAGAGCAGAAGTTAGTCTCATCCAGAATACTTAAGAAGACTTTTTGTTGTTTTGTGTGACAGAATTCTGGCTTGTGTTGAAGGATGCCATCCCATTTATTTAGGAGGGACCATGCAGGACAGAGAAGAGGTTGAGTGGCTTCTTGCCCTCTTTGCACACGGGGATTGCTAGTGTTGCTGGAATCTCCCAGGCATATAGGCCGATGTTAGCCATTTCTGGTGCGAGCTGCCCTGAAGTCTCTAGGTGGAGAACTAAGACCACACCAACCCTCAGGTAACCACTTTTGACAGGCAGAAGAGAGTTTGGGTTGCATGATCTCCTTAGTCCTTACACATGCGTTGGTACAAAACAAGTCAGTGCTTGGGTTCCCAAACCTTGAGATTTTCCACTGACAGTGTTTGAAGTTGCGGTTGCTAGAAGGAAGGGTTCTTGCAGTTTATAACCAATGTGTGCACAATTACTCAAGCGCATGCAGTTCACTTTCTATGAGACATCAGACAGCTATCATAAAGATGAACCGTCAGCCATAGCAGATCTTGCCTATGTTCATAACTATCGCTAAAGATTTCAGTGTTCTGATGTCAGTCTCACTGTAGTATTAAATTAATGACTTTTTGAAAATATTGGAAAGATCTCATGCACTGTCCAGAATGAAGTTGTTAATCTACTCTATCCCAGTTTATATCAGTTTTCAGCTTTGTTAATAATTTCCTGGACTAAGGAATAGAATGCTTAGGAATGTTAAAATGTTAAAAGAAACAGTATGTTGAAAACGTAGAATCCATCATTTCAGGTATGCTAACCCAGAATTAAGTTCCCTGTGGATATGAAGCTCTAAAAAAGTATGAAGATTTTTTTTTAAGTGTGGTGAACTACTCCGTCCTATGTTTGGATGCTCTCAAAAACGGCCAACTGAAATTAAAAAAGGCAAATAAGCCTGAGGTTATTCCGCTTCTTTAGAAAATGCCTATTTCACAAAGCTTGTGATATTTGTTGCTAAAAAGCATTTTTCACAGTACAATTAATTCTCATATTGACTAATTGTAAAGTTATGCTTTAAGTAAAAGGGGCCCATAATCCTTTGTTTTCTGTTTGTTGTTTGATTTATTGGAGCTTTTTTGTATACCTTTTCTCAGTCCCAGTAGCAGAATGTGCTTTTCCCTTGTAGCATGCTGTGCAGCATCCTACTCTATGAGAGTATTCTCTGCTTTTTCATATAATTTCTTTTGCTTGAGCAGCAGATGGCAGTGGAGAAATACCTTTGAAGGCACAGCATGGGTGCCTATGCTGCTTACTTGCAAGCTCAGGTACTCGTTTATTATTTTGTGCAGAGGTCATCAGCAAGGAGTTTTGAACAGCTGGTCCATAATCCAAGCTACAGTTGCGTCCCATGGAAGTTTCCATGTCTCCTTGAACCATAGTGTGGTATTCTTCCCAAGTTTATAGATGTGAGATGTGTCTGGAAAAATTGTACCAGGAAAGCTTTTACATTGTCTGCTATCTACTTCAGAAAGATATGTATCTATACCTTCTGAGGCATAATCGAGGGGATCTCCAGTGAAATACAGTGGTTTCTATCTCATAAGCATCAGAGCTTTCACTGTTTTAATCTCCAAAATGGAACATGATTCCTTAGAATTGTAAATGGTGTTACAGTAACATAAAATTGCCACTAAAGCATTAATTAAACGAGTTAATAGTTTGGCAGAGTTTGACAGTAATACATCAAGAGTATGATCAATTCAGATGATTGGCTACTGAGCCAGTCAATTATGTATTTTGTTACATTGTGGAAAATGGCACAGGCCTAGTGAGGTTCCAAATAATAGAATATATGCAACATACAAGGTCTGACCATAAACATACACTGTGACTTTGAGTTCTGGAGGCTTCTGTAACTCAAAGAACAACAAAGGCAATTGGAGTTTATATATTTTTAGAGCAAATACCCAATTACAATAAGGTTGCCATGCATATCTGCATGCTCTGGAACCCTTATTCCCAGATGTAATTTGTTTTTAGGGTTGATGAAAGAAAGGCTGTAGAACAACTATTTGTATGTGTTAGGTTATGGGCCAGTCACTATAATCTATTTAATTCTTGGCTGCTTTGTACAGAAAGTAGTGAGTTACTGTACTACTGATAAGCTGAATATCTGTTCAGTAGGAACCAGAATCTCCAGTTATTCTTGGAATCCCACCTTTGTGAAAAGACATGTTTGGTTTGTTTCATTGATAAGGATTCATTTTCCAAAAGAGGGGTGTTTGAGAGGATAAATACAAGAAGACAAAGGGACAATACCCTTCCAGTTACCTAAAGTTTTAATCTGTGCTAGCATGAGAGAGGCGAGTGTACCATTGATAAGGGAATATTTTGAAACCATCATGGTTTTGGTAGTTCCATTTTATGTCAGTGTCACAGTTTATTTATGACAAAAGGAAAACCAGCTTAAAAGGGTATCAGATTTGCTACAAATACAGTATAAAGTGTCTCTTGCAATAGAATCCAATAATCAGCCAGGATTAAAGATAGATCTGTATCTCATGGTAATAACATTTTATGTGTATGTAGTTGGTAGTTTCAGGATATTTGTCAAGTCCTGTTCACCCTGGGGTACTATTTTTTTCCAAGTTACTGAATCAGAGTGAAATTATTTCCGTAAAAACCTGTAACAGCAGTGTAGAAAGAAAAATACCCAAGTGTTCTTATTTAATGTTTTTAACAAAGTCTTAACTTGGATACTGGAATTCCTTTCAGTGTTGTTTCTGTAGAGTTTAGCTGGAAAACATTTTATTTTTTCTGTTACCTACTACCACTTAATCTTGTGTCTAGTACTTAATGCAAGTATACTAATTTTCCTAATGTGTGCCCTTATTCAGTGCTGTAAAAAACAAGTAACTCATGTTAGCAGTCCTTGAACAAAGGTTAATTAATTTAGCTGGTAAGCAAAGTGATCTCACAGTATGTCCAAGTGCTGCATTTTACAAAGGAACCTTTCAGCAGACTTTTTTTAATGCAAAAGTAAGCCTCTGTCTATGATCCTTCACATTGTAATCTATGCTAAAAGGTTTTTTTGAGGTCTCCGTTACTGTACACTGTAGAAATGTTCCACCATAGATGATGGTGTTGACTACAGAAAACTAATTCCATACAAGTTGTATGTTGCTCCACAGAGAAAGTGACTATGATGTGTTGTGCGTTTCTTGTGGTCTCCCTGGAGTAGTGGTTGAGATCTGCTTCTGGGCAGTGCAGCCGTGCTTGCTTTAATATATGGTGTATAGAGTGAACGCAGAAGGCACTCTGCTTATTTCTGTGGTTGGGAGGGAGAAGAAGCGAAAAGCTCTCTGTCTGTAGGTTAACAAATACTGAATAACTCATATGGACAGACTGAAAAAAGCATAATGTGTGGTCCTTCTTTCCAAAATTTGTGATGGGCTTATGTGGCTGGGTAGCAGATATAATGGAGAAGAGATAAATAAATTATTGCCATACCTTGATATAACACAAACAACAGAAGTAGTCCATGTGATCATGAATGGGAAGGGAATTGCAGAAAGTTGCAGTGATGTAGTCTGTGCTATGAAAAGCTTGAGAATGTATGCATTGAAAAAGAGAAGGTGTATGCTTGACCATGTAGTCTGGAGATAAAGAGCAGGGTCAGAATTGAGGGATATAATGATTTTTTTTGTCTCAGACATGTAAAACCTGAATTTGTAATGGGTAGCAGTCATTCTCTAATTGTTAAATGGTGTATCTGAGGAAAAAAAAATATTCGTTCTTAGACTACCTGTTATATGCATACTGGCCACAGAAGACTACTCCCAAAATCATGTAAGGACTCTCTGCGCTAGATTTTATTTTAATAGAAGCTTTTAATAATTTGGTCTCTTTGGTTAACACTACAGTCAGATGCTGATATTTTTAGAATGTTGTAAAGCTAATGCTGAACTTACATTTTCTGTAGAGAATTTTCATAGCATAGTTTCTTTAAATGACTTGGAGCACAACGGCAAGGTAGCAACATACTTTGTCATGACCATCTCTGGGCCCGTTTTCCTCTTAGGTGAAATAAAAACAATCATTTCAGTGCTATGACAGCTGCAGGCTCATTTGTTTTTTTAATGGTTTATGGTGGTGTCTCTTTTTTTGTTTCAGTTGGAAAGAGATGTGGCTGCAGGACTATTGGCAAAGCCTTGATCAGGGTGAGGCCCTCACTGCTATGATTCATCGGAATGAGTCGCATCAGGGAAGATTTTGGGACTATATGCATGAGATTTTTCTCAAGAGGACGAGGCAACACTGATCCATCTTTGCAAGAGCTTGGTTGGAAAATTGCATTGAAAGTTGAGACTGCGAATTCTTACCTCACTACAAATGTTTGCCTTGAAATAGAGGAAAAACTCTCACAGAGACTATTTTTTCTGGTGCATGAAGTGAGTAAGTTTCTGTTATGACTGGATTTCAGTGGAGATCTTAGCAACTGCTTTGGTTGGAATTTCAGCTCTGTGCTGTGAAGCCACTCCTGACTTGCAGGTGTCAACATGTGGGGCAAAAGAAGAATTTACTCTCCTTTTGCATTTGGTATAGTTTCCTTTTGGCTTGCATGACTTCAGAGGAGCATCTCTTCAGACTCTTGCTTAAATGCCCTAAGTTATTTCAGGGATTTTTTTAATCTCCAAAATATTAATAACTTTTTTTTAAAGTATTTGATCAGTCACTTATTCTCCTCATTAAGGTGTACTTTTAATGGCTATTAACAAATAGCTTTTCCAGTGAAGGAATTACAGAAGACAAATGTCTGTGGAGAGCAATTGTGCCTTATGAAATTGCAGCAATAAAGTCTCTAGATTTAGATTAGATATTAGGAAGAAATTTTTCACTGTGAGGGTGGTGAGGCACTGGAACAGGTTGCCCAGGGAAGCTGTGGATGCCCCATCCCTGGAGGTGTTCAAGGCCAGGCTGGATGAGGCTTTGAGCAACCTGGTCTAGTGGAGGGTGTCCCTGCCCATGGCAGGGGGGTTGGAACTCGATGATCTTTAAGGTCTCTTCCAAGCCAAACCATTCTATGATTCTGTGATATGATGATTCTTCCCAGGTAAGCATGCCTCACGTACTCCTGCTTTTCAGGTTAACTGAATAGGTATGGGCAGGTCCCTTACACTCTGCCTGATTTTCCTCTTTTGCTGACTTTCCAGGTGATATGTACAGTGGGATGAGAGACTAATTTCTTTAATTCACAACTTTCAACAAAGTATTTCACACTAGAAAGTGTATTACCTGGTATTGTGGAGAACTAGAGTAAAATTAGTATGCTTTGGTTCTTTTAAGTTTCCATCAAAGCTGAAATCGCAGCTATAATCTTGATTTGTAATCTCGTTAATACCAGCAATTCAGAGGCCTTTGATTTGTTCTTTTTGAACATCTGCAGCTTTCTGCAAAGACAAATACATTTTAACAATGGTGCCTTTCCAGTTGTCCCAGTTTCGGCTGGGACAGAGTTAACTTTCTTCATAGTAGCTAGTGTGAGGCTGTGTTTTGCATTTGTGCTGAGAAGGTGGCTAACAACATACTATGTTTATAGTTTTTGCCAGGACAGTCAAGGACTTTTCAGCTTCTCTGCTGTGCCAGTGTCCGCAGGGGCAGGAGAAGCGAGGAGGGAGCACAGTCAACAATTAATGGCTTAGGATTCGACCTTAGGTTTAGGATTGAGACCCAAATTGGCCAGTGGTATATTCCATGTCATGCACGTTGTGCCCAGTATGTACATGATGATCTGTCTGGAAGTTCGCTTTCTCTCTCTTTGGATCTCTCTCTTGTTTGGCTCTCGGATGCTTGGGTTCTTCTCTTTTCTGGGATTGCG